TAAAATCCTGAAAGATCAGAATCCCGAAAAATAGTCTTTGGGAGAAATTGAAAAAAAAAAAAATGCGAAATTCCTTTATTTCTAAACATTTTCAAAACAGCGTTTAAATAGAGTTTATACATTCAATATTTATTACAAAATATAAAACCAGAATAAGGCAGAGGCGATGGGAAAATTTAGTAGGCAATGCACATGTTGGTGTTTATTGCATTATTGGAGAGTTTCAAAAAGAGCAGCTGCACATAGGAAACGAGGAGAGTCTTGTCCAAAAAGAAAATAAGAGAATATGTGTTTTATCGTGATGAAATACATAAAATATAGTTAACAATCGTGAAAACAGACCAGATCATATGGACTTAACTTAGGGCCCTTGCTCATAATCATTTATTATAAATTACTTCTATGTTTCGGTCTTTTGATTTTTCAGGATTTTGATACATACAGGATTTCAAATTTCGGGATTTTTAAATTTCAGGATTTCGACATTCGGGATTTTAAGATCCAGGATTATAACACACACTCCCTGAAGGGATATAGCATTAATCTTACTTATTATAAAATGCAGATTGTGTGTGTGTGTGTGTGTGTGTACGTTTATATATTGGATCGGATTTCCTACATTTTTCAACCGATTTCAACAAAACTTCACAGGACTACGTAAAATTATCTTGTGGTGGTTCTAACAGCTCCAAAAATTGGAAAAACACAATTGTTTTTGAACGAAATCAATTTGAAAACACGATTAAGAGGCATCGCGAGAATGAAAGGGGGACAACTGATATCGAGTTATACTTATTATAAAACCCAGGTTGTTTGTGTGTGTGTGTGTGTGTGTGTTCGTTTATATATGGGATCGGATTTCCTACATTTTTCAACCGATTTCAACAAAACTTCACTTTTTTTTGGCAGCTAGTGTTTCTTATTGTCTTCCACACTTTTTTCTTTATTTTTACATTCAGAATGCTTTAAAAATTCCATTTACAAGACAATTGTTTATAATAAAATTCTATTCAATCGGTAGACTCATAACGATTGAAAACAATGTTTTTGTTTGAGTTTGACCAATTCGTAAGAAAAAAAAAACAAAAAAACAAACTAATTAAGACATGCGTGTTCGTCAACCTTAAACAATAATCTTTGTCAATTTTATTTTTCAGTCTTTATGATGGTCGATACTTGATCTATCTCTTACTGTTACATTCCCGGGCAACGCCGGGCTCTACTGCTAGCCATGAATAAATAAAAGTTCCCAGGTTCAGGTCTTTTGAAAACTAAATAGTTTCACTTGATTGATTATCTGAACGAACACCTGATTTGTTCTCTGCTATGCCTGTCAAAATACAACTGGCTCAATGAAAGTTAATTTTTGACTGATAGATTCATTTTCTACAGCTTATCAATCCTTTGCAGGTTATTTAAAGCCAGAAAATATTTTTAGATTGTCAGGATTTTTTCTCGGAAGGAGTAATGGTTTAACGATACAAGTCTTACTAATTAAACCATAGCTTGTGGGGAAGAAGAGGTGGATTTATATCTTTCTATTATGACCCGATTATGGCTCTCCGCAACTTCCTATCCTTTGTAACTCTTAACAATGTAGGTCTTTTTATTACTCCTCACAACCTGTCCTGCCAATCATTTACACAGTCTTGTTAGGTATATTAGCCAGAGCTTCCTCTTGCACCTCTATACTTCCACATGTTCTATGATTGATTGAATCGTTTTTTACGGCTTATCAACCCTTTGTAGGTTATTTGAACCCAGGATATATTTTGAGATTGTAAGAATTTTGAGGGAGATAATGATGCTTTAGTGATATAATTTCTAATATTTAACCCTTAGCTGGGGAGAGAAGAGATGGGTTAATATCTTTCCCAACAGTATTTGCGCCTAAGTGACTATAACGAACAGAACTGGAACTGGATTAACAATTCCAAGCCATTATTCATTACATCATCTGCACATCCAAGCTTACAGCACCTGGTATTCAGAAGCGGTCACCCATCTTGGTACTGATCAGGTTCAGTGTTGCTTAACTTCGGTTATATTACAGAAACCGGTCTTTCACCCTAACCGTAACCCTATCCATTTCACTTTATGACTCGATTATGGCTCTCCGCAACTTCCTATCCTTTGTAACTCTTAACGATGTAGGTCTTTTAATTACCGCTTCCAAACTGTACTGTTAATCATTTACATAATCTTGTTAGGTATATGAACCGCAACTTCCCCTGTTCCTCTATACTTCCATATGTACTATGATTTATTTTTTACGGCTTATCAACCCTTTGCTGATTATTTAAAGCCAGAGAATATTTTTAGATGTAATAATTAAAAAAATATATATATAATGGTTTAATGACTTAAGTTTTACTCATTAACCCATAGCTGAGGGGAGAAGAGGTGGATTCATGCCTTTTCCAAGAATATTTGAGCGTAAATAAACATAACGAAGCCGAATGGAATTGGAAACCGACTCTCCGATTAACAATTCCAAGCTATCGTCCAATGTCCGTTACACCTACTGCACATTCAAGCTATCAGCACCTGCTATTCCCAAGCGGTCACCCATCTATGTACTGACCAGACTCGATGTTGCTTAACTTCGCTGATCGAACGGGAAACAATGTTTCAATGTGGATTGACCGTAAGCCCATTACATCAGCCACATATCCAAACATACAGCACCTGGTATTCCCAAGCGATCACCATCTATGTACTGACCAGACTCGATGTTGCTTAACTTCGCTGAGCGTACGGGAACCAATGTTTCAATGTGGTTTGACCGTAAGCCCATTACATCACCCACATATCCAAACTTACAGCACCTGGTATTCCCAAGCGGTCACCCATCTATGTACTGACCAGACTCGATGTTGCTTAACTTCGCTGATCGAACGGGAAACAATGTTTCAATGTGGTTTGACCGTAAGCCCATTACATCACCCACATATCCAAACTTACAGCACCTGGTATTCCCAAGCGGTCACCCATCTATGTACTGACCAGACTCGATGTTGCTTAACTTCGCTGAGCGTACGGGAACCAATGTTTCAATGTGGTTTGACCGTAAGCCCATTACATCACCCACATATCCAAACTTACAGCACCTGGTATTCCCAAGCGGTCACCCATCTATGTACTGACCAGACTCGATTTTGCTTATCTTCGCTGATCGAACGGGAACCAATGTTTCAATGTGGTTTGACCGTAAGCCCATTACATCACCCACATATCCAAACTTACAGCACCTGGTATTCCCAAGCGGTCACCCATCTATGTACTGACCAGACTCGATTTTGCTTATCTTCGCTGATCGAACGGGAACCAATGTTTCAATGTGGTTTGACCGTAAGCCCATTACATCACCCACATATCAAACTTACAGCACCTGGTATTCCCAAGCGGTCACCCATCTATGTAGACTCGATGTTGCTTATCAGGGAACTCAATGTGGTTTGACCGTAAGACATCACCCACATTCCAAACTTGCAGCACCTGGTATTCCCAAGCGATCACCATCTATGTACGACCAGACTCGATGTTGCTTTACTTCGAACGGGAACCAATGTTTCAATGTGGTTTGACCGTAAGCCCATTACATCACCCACATATCCAAACTTACAGCACCTGGTATTCCCAAGCGGTCACCCATCTATGTACTGACCAGACTCGATGTTGCTTAACTTCGCTGATCGAACGGGAACCAATGTTTTAATGTGGTTTGTTTGACATCACCCACATATCCAAACTTACAGCACCTGGTATTCCCAAAACCCATCTATGTACTGACCAGACTCAAACTTTCAACGGGAAACTGTTTCAATGTGGTTTGACCCATAAAGCCCATTACATCACCCACATATCCAAACTTACAGCACCTGGTATTCCCAAGGTACTGGACTCGATTTTGCTTATCTTCGCTGATCGAACGGGAACCAATGTTTCAATGTGGTTTGACCGTAAAGCCCATTACATCACCCACATATCCAAACTTACAGCACCTGGTATTCCCAACGGTCACCCATCTATGTACTGACCAGACTCGATTTTGCCATCTTCGCTGATCGAACGCCAATGTTTCAATTTTAAGCCCATTTCACCCACATATCCAAACTTCAGCACCTGGAATAAGGGTCACCCATCTATGTACTACCAGACTCGATTTTGCTTATCTTCGATGAGCGTTTTTCAATTTTTGACCGTAAGCCCATTACATCACCCACATATCCAAACTTACAGTTTGTCATCTATGTTTGACCAGACTCGATTTTGCATTGGATCGAACGGGAACCAATTTTCAATGTGGTTTGACCGTAAGCCCATTACATCACCCACATATCGCACCTGGTATTCCCAATCACCCATCTGTGTACTGACCAGACTCGATTTTGCTTATCTTCGCTGATCGAACGGGAACCAATGTTTCAATGTGGTTTGACCGTAAGCCCATTACATCACATATCCAAACTTACAGCACCTGGTATTCCCAAGCGGTCACCCATCTATGTACTGACCAGACTCGATTTTGCTTATCTTCGCTGATCGAACGGGAACCAATGTTTCAATGTGGTTTGACCGTAAGCCCATTACATCACCCACATATCCAAACTTACAGCACCTGGTATTCCCAAGCGGTCACCATCTATGTACTGACCAGACTCGATTTTGCTTATCTTCGCTGATCGAACGGGAAACAATGTTTCAATGTGGTTTGACCGTAAGCCCATTACATCACCCACATATCCAAACCCAGCACCTGGTATTCCCAAGCGGTCACCCATCTAACTGACCAGACTCGATTTTTGCTTATCTTCGCTGATCGAACGGGAACCAATGTTTCAATGTGGTTTGACCGTAATGAAACCCATTATCCAAACTTTGCACCTGGTATTCCCAAGCGGTCACCCATCTATGTACTGACCAGACTCGATTTTGCTTATCTTCGCTGATCGAACGGGAACCAATGTTTTTTTTTTTAAAGCCCATTTATCCAAACTTGGTATTCCCCAAGCGGTCACCCATCTATGTACTGACCAGACTCGATTTTGCTTATCTTCGCTGATCGAACGGGAACCAATGTTTCAATGTGGTTTTGACCGTAAGTGCACCCACATATCCAAACTTACAACCTGGTATTCCCAATCACCCATCTATTTGACCAGACTCGATTTTTATCTTCGCTGATCGAACGGGGACCAATGTTTTAATCTGGTTTGACCTTAAGATTATCCCACACATTCAAGATTTCAGTGTTTTACCCAAGCGGTCACCCGTCTAGGTACTGGCCAGATCTCGATTCGCTTAACTTCGGTGACAGTACGAGAAGCGGTTTTTCAACGTGACGTGGCCGAAGCCATGAAAGCTAATTTTATTTTTCTTCGAGGAACTAAGGCCGAGCGTTATGTCATTTTCGATCTTTTTCTTTGCTCTCTGTTTGTCATGTTTTCCGACATTGGTCAATTTCTGTGTGTGTGCAGGGCCCACGCGCTCGATAAATATCTAGACAGAATTACTCACGCTGGAAACAAGAGAGCTTAACTTGATTAGAACATGAAACTGATTTGTGTGGCTGAATATATTACAGAGAGTAAGTTATCATCCAGTAAAAATTCCAGAAAATACTGAAGTGCTGAAAAGTGGTAACGGTAAAACACGGCCTCCGGTGAGAGATCCATAAAACCCGCAGTGACCAATTGGTTAAAAGTAGACTAATGATTTAGAATTGTCGGAATGAAAATTAGCTTTGACAAGCTTATAGCAGACGAGGGGGAGTTTTTTTTTTTTTAAATTTTATTTGTCGCTATCGATTTACATAACTGTTTTACACTGTGTCAAAAGCTGTCAGCCAGTGAAATGTCAAGGGGGGACTCCCTAAACGATCGATTTTACTTTTTTTCTTTATTGTTGTTCACAGATATCTCTGGATATGTGTTAGAGTCGCAATAGCTACCGGCGAGAAAGATGAAATCAGAGTTCAAATTCTGGCTCAGGTTATTGCGTTCAAGTTTGTACAAATGTTAATACAGTGTAACCCGGATATAAGAGAGTTGTCGGGACCGGAGAAGAAGTCTCTTATATCCGAGTTTCTCTTATATCCGGGGTTTGGTCTATTTTATATACATTAACACAGGCTCTAATTTGGGACCAGATAAAATCTCTCTTATATCCGGGTTTCTCTTATATCCGGGTTTGGTCTATTTTATATACATTAACACAGGCTCTAATTTGGGACCAGATAAAATCTCTTATATCCGGGTTTCTCTTATATCCGGGTTTGGTCTATTTTATATACATTAACACAGGCTCTAATTTGGGACCAGATAAAATCTCTCTTATATCCGGGTTTCTCTTATATCCGGGTTTGGTCTATTTTATATACATTAACACAGGCTCTAATTTGGGACCAGATAAAATCTCTCTTATATCCGGGTTTCTCTTATATCCGGGTTACACTGTATGAGCCGTTTCTTTATAAGGAAACTGTGAACAATTACGTAGAAGCAAGCGAGTTAGAGTGGCTTGCATCTGGCGTAAAGGAAAATAAGTTCCTTTTTTCAATACACGACACATAGCAGCGGCATTTTGTTCCTTGAAATAGCATCAATCTCCCCTCCTCACGTTAGATTATTCCAAAAGTGTACATTCTGTAACAGTGGCTTTTGTACAGCTTAGCGTGGTTCTGCGAATAGCAAGTCGCGTGCCGATTGGTCAGACTGGAGGATATCATTTGCCTGGGTACCTGAGGACAAAAGCGAAGAATGCTAATTTGTCAGTCGGTCGTGGTGTTGGTATGATAACAGAGGGCTGAAGCAGTGATAAGGGAATATTTTTTTATGTCGGTGACGTGTGTCCGAACTCAAGAACGGCAGATTGAAAAAAAAAAGAAGGAATTTAGAATTGTACGAACGACGTCAGAGGAACATAAACTCATTTACGTTACAGAAAGATTTGGCATTCAATAACAGACCTGTAAGTACTGTTTTCGGTTACAAACATATATGCGAAGACACTGACCATTTAATCATTCCATTCTACATCCCAAACGAATCTACTAATAGAATACAACGACTCTGCATTCTCCCGTGAGGCCAATGTACAGATGCTGATGACATAGGTATTCCTAGTTGTGATAAGAATGATCTTGAACAGAAAATCAACATTGTCCCCAAAAATAGGATTCAAGATAAAACTTTCCAAAACTGAAACTATGATCAACAACTGGAATTAACGCGATGGAGACCCGTACCCTGAATCCATGATAAAAAATCACGATGTGGAATTAGCAAATACCAAACAGTTCAACTACATCATCGTATGGACCAATTATAACAACTTTAGTACAGGAGAAAAGGAAATTGAACATAGAATTGGCTGCACTAGAAGTAGTTTGAACTGTAAAATGATGAGACCTTGCCTTGGTGTATGGATCAGTTATAACAAATTTAGTATAGAAGATGTTAACATGAACATAGAATAGGCTGCACTAGAGGTAATTTTTATTACAAAACGAAAACATCAACATGAGAACTTGAGTCACGTACTTAAATGGACTCCGCAGACTGAACCTTTCATATAGGTGTCATGCAAAGCGCTAAACCTGTTCATAAATATGTAAAATATCTAAGTTCTATACAGCAGTTTTCTAAGATCAATGGTTAAACATTGGTTTAAATGAGTAAAGCCTGAGGATCTTGGCAATGGACATCCTCGTTTGAATATTGTGGACTGCCGCTATAGAATCACAAAGAACCAAACGCACATCACCTGAGGACTACCAACAGCAGCAACAACTAAAATGAATAGCATATAGAAAATAATGTCATAATCAAGATGTTAACATTCCACATTACTTCAAATAAAAAGTTCAATATTGGAAAGAGCCATAACAGCTACCGGATTTGAGAAAACTGTTTTCCTGAAAAATTGTTTATAGAGAAAGATTTCATAAATTTCAACGGAAAGCAGTACTGGCTGCTTGGTCAATGAATGCCAAATGTTTCCTTATAGGGAAACGGCTAATATTAGCACTACCATTAAAGATGAGGGGGAGCAGATACTACACTTTGATCCTTGCTGATATTTCTCTTACTGTTACGATTTAAATGTCATTGATGTGTTCGTAGATATTTAATGTACTCTTACTGTGACATGTTCTGATTTACGGCCGTATCGCGTTGAAACATGGGATCTTGTAAAATCAATGAAGTTGAGCAACGTCGAGCCTGGCTAATACCTAGATGGGTAACCACTTGGGAATACCAGGTGCTGTAAGCTTGGATGGTCGGATAGTGTAATGAATAATGGATTACGCGCAATAAGAAAAGTAAATGCACAAGATTCAGAAGAAAAAAAACAAAACAACAAAAAAAAACAGAATATGGCGATTGGCATTACATTTAACCTTTCGAAGATTGGACGTGCCAGGGAAGCAAGAAATCTGAAGGGAGTTCACAGGAAAGAAAAAAAAAACTGTTAGAATAGAACAGACGGTTTCATCTGTAGAAATGTGAGATGCAGTCGAGGCACCAAGGAGGAAATCTCACCAGAAGAATTGCCATGGAAATATTTATAGAAAAGAGAAGCCATGGAAAGATGGTGGGAAAGTGACTGAATTCGAGATGCCAAGTCAGGACCGATTTCATTACAAACTCTACTTTGGAATTTCTTGAGAATCCTGAAATATAGAGCGGGGTCTCCACACCAGATATGTCAACAGTATTCAGTGCACGGACGAATGGTAGATTTATCAATTTATACATGAAAGATTCTAACGAGAAAAAATTGTCTGGTGCGACGCAATGAACCAAATGTCCTAGCATTAGAACTAGCAATCGATTCAATATAATCACTCCATTACATGTCAGTAGAAAACGTTGGCCCAAGAAGCAGCAAACAGTTGTTCTCTTGGGTGTTAGCATCAGCCAAATGCCAATGGAAGGCAGAAATGGTTCTCTATGGGGATGAAAAGATAGCAGCTTCATTTTGAAGATGTTAAAATTTACGAGCCATACCTTGCCCCATTTAACCACTGACTGGACCTAATTTACTTGAAACTTTAAACATAATGTTGACTCTTTCTGCTGAATTGACATAACTGACTTCATTCACAGCCAGTATACTTTTCATACTGCCGCTACCTGGATTGACAGACACCTGACGATGACCAGAGTGCGTAACAGTCGAAACGATCTAATGACAACAAAGATGAAGTCATTGGTCCCAATGTAAATAATGATAATTTCTCACCCATTGAATTCAGACAGAAATTGGCGTATTTGTGTTGACAATTTATTCATTCGATCACCTCTTGTTCGGCAAACCAAAGCGAATTAGCTTTTCGTGGGGAGACATTAACCTCTGGATTAGTTTTGATTTAATATTCGTTTTCTTGAATTACTTTTCAACTGTGAATGTCGCTCTTTAGAACTGCGTGAGGGCGCCTTTAGAATTGAACTTGACTGGACAGTTGGCGAAACATTGATAGAAGACAAATCATTGGTTTGTCTGACCTTTTGTAATCGGTCGAGCTACGGGTGACCGTTGCACAATGAGGGCGTGTAGTCGGCCTGGGACGCGCCAGGAGGTACCAGCATGTGTAAATGACATTTGAAAGGAGGGAGGCGTTGTTGGAAGTACGCCACAACCTTTAACGAAACGACGGAAGATATTGGCAAACGTTTTAAGAATTTTTCAAGACAGGCAGTGCTAAGAAGAATAAATAATTGTATTAACGGACGAGAAGATGATGTGATTCTGGGAAAATTACGAAAAAAAGACATCTTTGTCGTAAATAGCTTCAATGTATCATGATATAATTTTAATTATAAAATAATTTGGCGCGCAAGATCTTCATTTGGCGAGCAAGAAAAAAAAACTTTCTAAAATTGCTAGCGTAGCTTATTCAGCATGATAATGCTAATATTAGACGTTTCTTTATAAGAAAACATTTGGCATTCATTGATCAAGCAGCCAGTAGTACTTTTTACGCTTTTCTTCACTTCTTGGACATCGGGCTGGGATCAAAGTGTAGTATCTATTCCCTTCATCTTTAATGCTAATATTACCTCGCATATATTGTGTTGGTGCGTAATTATCAGGCGTT